ACAGTGGTTGAAGGAGAAAAAGCTGAATGTCCTTGCATGGCCTGTCAGAGCCCAGACTTAAACCCCACTGAAAATCTGTGCAATGACTTGAAGACTGCAGTCCACAAACACTCACCATCAAATTTAACTGAACTTGAGCAGCTCTGCAAAGATGAGTGGGCAAATATTGCAAAGTCTAGATGTGCAAAGTTAGTAGAGACAAATCCCAACAGACTAAAGGCTGTAATTAAAGCAAAAGGTGGTTCAACAAAATACTGACACAAGGGGCTGATCTTTTTTCCAACTCAGTGATTCTTTTTTGTTTTTTTTCTGACATGTTGGTGTCAGAACAGTGTTGGTGTTTATCTTTCACTTGGATGTTATAAGTTGCACTGAGTAAATAGAGCTAGATAAAACAAAAACCATGTCCGTCTTCATTTCAGGCTGCAAAGCAACAAAATATGATTATTTTAAAGAGTGGGTGGGGATATGGGGCTAGATGGGAGAAAAAAAACTATATTTCAATACTTTTGTGAGAAAATGCTAAGTTTTCTGGGGAATGCAAAAGCATCAAAATATGATTTTTCCTGCCATCATGTCCCTTTAGGGCAGGGGTGGGCAGACTTGGCCCTTCCAGGCCACTTTCCTTCAGAGGTTAGCTCCAACCCTAATCAAACACACCCGAACCAGCTAATCATTGTTTTCAAGACTACTAGAAGGCTACAGGCAGGTGAGTCATATCAGGGTTGGATCAAATCTCTGCAGGAAAGTGGCCTGGAAGGGCCAAGTTTGCCCATCACTGCTTTAGAGTGTAGAGTTAGGGAAATGTCCGTAAACTTTTTCTTACAGTGTAGACATAACAATTAATAGTAATATCAAAGGCCAAATGGTGGGAGCTATTATAAATTATTATTATAACTTCATTCTTTTTGGTTCAATGTTTCGTCATTTTCGTCATAATTCACGTGTAAACACATAATTACAGAGTAATAATTGTTGCAAGTAACTTGCAGTTTTATGCTTCAACCAACTGGATCTTATGAGAAACACTGTAACTATTTTACAATATTGTGATTTTGTATGAATTTCATATCAATTTGATTTTTTACAAAACGTAAAATGTTTAGAAAAAAGCTATATGATCCACCTCTAACCCCAACCCTAAACCTAACTATCTTTGGGGAATAAGCAGATTGTAAGAAACGTATGAATGAAATCACAAATTGATACAAATCAGTCACAATTTGCCATGTGTTGGCTTCAACTGCTGAAGTTACTTAGTGTACTTTAGCTTTAAAATCCAATAACTGCTTATTAAAATAACTCCTATGGACTAGATTACATAATTTCCAAGGACGATGATTACCACACTTCATGAAGACTTTTAAAACAAAATAAGAAGATAAGAGTGAGAACCTGACCTTCAGCTGGGTTGCCTTGCAGGAAATCTCAAGAGACACATCTACTCTGGATGAGGGGTAATAAAAACAGGCAGTCTCAAGCATGCCATCGTACTAATGTCTTTCACACTGCATTTCTTTTTCATTAACATACACATTTTCATACGTTGGAGTGATCACCTACCTTAATTTTTGAGCACAACGACGTCTCACAGAGTAGATGAAACTATTAGACAATAATGATCATGTTTCACTCTTGAGGAAAAATAGTGACAGTGCACAGCGGAAAATTATGAGATAATGTCTTGTTTACTTGCACAAGTAGACTAAATCAGCAATCTTGCTTCTAAATACACCATTAAGAGAAATGTGAGTACAGAGCTACCATATTAATTATTGCTACTGTTGGGTTTGCACTGCAGCAGTGCCGGCAAAGAATAGCAGGACATAACGGGTAAAAGTTCCTTCTGAAATTCAAATATCCACTCAATTGTACTTGTTTATCGGATTAATACATTTGGGATGGACGCAAAGAATCTCCCTGGTTTGAAAATGGTGTGCATTTTACAGCCTCATTAATTTAATTAGTAACAAAAACAGAGGAAATGTTGTAATATGGGACGTGCCTGAAGACACGAGGTCTCGCTTTCCACACAGGGCCCATTTAGGTCTTGGTCTAGGCACAAAAAAGAGGGGAATCACTGATGAGCAAATAACAGTTAGTTGAAATGAGCTGTGGGAAAAGACATCCAGTCATTCGGCTCTGTTGAGTGAGGAAAGTGCACATATTCAAAATGCAAACCATCAGCTTTCCAACTTGAAATGGTTAGGCTAATGAATCAAATAAAAGTGTTTTCAGAAGCATTTGGAAATATAAATGTGTTCAATCTGAACGATATGTGCTGTGACACAGTAGATATGAGTGTCGTGAATATAAAATATTTCCCGATCTGCCTCGAGCGAAAGCGATGTGCCTCCGCTCGCTTTCCCAGAGTGCTTCTTGAAGGCAATAATGTCTACCACTGCAAGTAAACAAATATTCAAAAATACCTGCAATGGCGAAGTCTATTTAAAACATATTTACTAACTTTTTGAGCAGAATGCTGCCAGGGGCAACACGGGATGTGAAGCACATTAGTGGTGGAGATGGGACCGTAAAAAATCTGCATACATTTTTAAGCTGGCAAGTCATGAAGGTGCTGGATGGGAAACAATGTCCCTGTGCCTGCAGTACGAGGTACAAAACACTCGGTGACTCATCGCTTAAACACTGAAGTATACTGGAATAAAAGACCAGATGAGAGAGGGACCCAACCCCCATCGCAAACGCACAAAAATGTGACCTTCACAGTTTGATGCTTGGCTTGTGTCTAAAGAAACACTCAGTGCCTGTCCAGTGAACAATAATGCAACACTCTAACGATTCTGTGTAAATCAGGTTTTTTAAAAATCAATAAAAAGTGACAAAAATGTTACAAGACATAACGAATAAATTATAACATGCATCTTGTAACATTAAGCTACCACTTCAATGAAATTAATTACACTATTCAAAACATTTATTAAGCACATTTATACTCAAGAAAACAGCCATTGCTATTGTTGCATGTTGGGTCAATTTCTTTATATATAAATTAGTGCTGTCAAACGATTAATCGTGATTAATCGCATCCAAAATAAAAGTTTTTATTTACATAATATATGTATGTTTACTGTATTTATTTATTATGTATATATAAATACACACACATTCCTTATATATTTTGGAAATATTTACATGTATATACATTTATATGTTTATATTATTATATTTTATATTATATATAAATATGTTTAATATATAAACATAGCATATTTTTCTTAAATATATACATGCATTTGTTTGTATTTATATATACATAATAAATATACACAGTACACACTCATATATTATGTAAACAAAAACTTTTATTTTGGATGCGATTAATCGTTTGACAGCACTAATATAAATATAATATTTAAATATAAAAATTTAAATATAAATAACGTGTGTGTGTGTGTGTGAGTGTTTAAATTAATAATACAATTACTAAATTAATACTTTTACAAATATTGTTATTATAATAAAAATGTTATATTACTATATTTTTATATATTATTACATTTTAATTATATATTTAATAATAATTCATATATATATATTTATATATAAACTAATGGGTACGGATATAAAATTAAAGAAAACTAAATAAAATGAGTAGTAATAATAATAACAAATTTTACACGTTTGCAATGAGTGGACATTTCACCTACTTAGATGGACTGATCTGGTGTGTTTGATGATAATACAGTATCTGGATCACTTTATGCACATTGTAAGCCTACTCACTCATATGCTATTCTGGGCTTTCTGATTCAAAACTGTCCTTCAAAGCAATTTGCATCTCTAACTCGCATCTAATGGAATTTCAGAAAGTAATATAATTAGTTCTAATCCTCAACACCAAGTTGGATTTTCCACAAGATTTCCACCTTCTTTCAACTACTTGCCAGATGGCCTTGAATGTGTAATGTATGATAATGCATGATAAAATATACAGCTTTGGACACATCCATATTTCACTGTACATTAAATATCTGTGGGTGGATCTGATTGTTGTTGTAGCCACCAGAAAAAAATATAACAGGCCTCAGATGCATCATTAATCTACTATAACTACCCATAACTTCTGTATCAAAGGAGGCCACTTTCCTTTATCACAAAACATTAGAGTGCCCGAAGAAATAAAAATATGCTAAATAATAAAAAAACGCAAAAAAAATATTTAAAAAATTCAAAATATGTCTAAGTATTGAAATGTGCTAGTTATGATATCATCTAAAACTGGTAATAAAAGGAGGATGTTTGTGAAATTTATTCGATTGTGACCTTAACTTTATCACGTGTCATACATTTGCAACGAACAACCATTAGTGAGGGAGGTTGCTCTTTAAAACTTGTGTAAGAATAAAAAATTAAACGCTTTTTGAGCTTCATATCCGCTCTACTGTTAAACAACTACTAACCTTTTTCTCGCTCGTGACGTTTTCTCTTTCCCAGAAGACAACAGCAGGTCTTAAAAAAATGATGGTTCTCTGTCCATCAACGTTTGGGTTATGGACCCAACATGCTTCCACCGGACCACCATGAAACCCACCCCAGCTGGGACTTGAATCCCAAATAACGTTATATGGCTTAGGAAACCAGTGTCATATCCATGAGGTAACGATACAAAGAGAATTCTTCTCAAATGTCATTTGATCATTATTAATCAATTTCTAAAGAAATTACCATCTTTTTAAAGCTCAGTAATATCAGTAGAACACATTGTAAGAGATATTCAGCAGCATAAAGTGGTTTATTTCGCCCTCTTTTGGCAGCGACTGGGAATTTTTCGTATTGTGAGACACTCAGAGACTCTTTTCACTTCGTCCTTTAACCTCAAGAGATAAACACTGAAGCACTGGATGTTCTGCAGATAACCACAAACAAGTGTGAGATAAATGGTCTGACACACAAATTGGATTTCTATGTTTTGGTCTCTTGTTGTTTTTCACAGTACCTGCATCAGAAGACAAACACAAAGCACAAAAACTCTCAAATGCATCTTTTCAGTTTATTTGTATATCAGTTTACAATTCACTGCGCATGAGATTGCTGCATGTCCACACATTCATATGGACAATCTGTGTCTGAATCCATGGCACACATATTGAACAAAGGCAACTTGTGCTGTGATAGGCGTTTCAATCAATCAGAGAGTGAAAATGATCCTTGTTGATAATGACGTTATGAAATTTATGCAAAAAACAAGGTTCTTTACGTGGTGCAGATGGATAAAGACAAAGACAAACTTGGTTACGGCATTCATTAAAACATGAACAATTGCCTAAGACATCTCAAGCTAATGTGCAGTCATGCTGACGATAACAGGAATGTCTTGCACTTAAACTAAGACTTAGCAATGCATGTAGTGCATTTACAAAAGATATTGCTCCAAAATCCATTAATGCTGCTAAATGCTGTAACATGAGGCATAACAACCTTTCAGCTCCTCCAACATAATTAACAACTCATCCCTTTATACACGAGTGCACGTTTTTCTCAAATCAACATTTCAGCAACAAACTCACTATCTTTATACCCAAAAGCATTCTAAACATTTAAAAATGAGTACAAAATGTATGTGTCCTGTGTAATTGGATACATTGCATTTTGCATTTTGAAACAAAGGACATTCTGGCGTTCTCTAATAAAACCAAAAACCTATTTTTAAAGGGGAAAAAAAACAGATCTGAAATGTTACTCAGATGTAAATGTGCTGAAATGTCAACATGGCTCATAACCATAACAGAAAACGGTAGATAAACCAATAAATCTGCCTGTGTATCACTATATCAAAAACTGTCACGGATTCAAAAAACACTCAAGAGTCTGAGTCTCCAGCCAAAATGGATGAGTACAGCACATTTATAAACAGAGAGGCCATCAATCTCCCTCTGTTCCTGAATATGATAGTTACAGCTGACGTGTTTGTCGAGCGGGTTATACGACCAGTCATACCGCGAGAAAGAGTGCATGGGTAGAGAATCATTCAGCCCAATGAGTAGTGCAAGCTTTTCCAAAAGCACTGGAGTGTACTGGAAAATATCAATCATCTACACATTCAAAAAGCACCAAGGAGAAAAACAATAAAAAAAGAACACAATCCACAGTTCAAAACATGCAAATACATCAAATGAATTGACACTGGTTGATATTGTAGTTAAAACCACTATCTGTGGCATTTGTTAAAGGCACCTAGTGTTAAACTGATAAAGCATCCCATAGGAAAAGATTAAGTCCTAGTATTTCTGGTGGCTTCCAACCTTGTCAGCATGCTTGTGTTCATCACTCAAAGATTTGAGAATTCTGAAGGCACTATCTGTATCAGAAATGTCCCTTGCATATCCAGCAAATATTTTTGGCATGTAAACAAACATGGTTTCATGTGCTTGAAAGTGCCAAACAATTTGTGGTAGTAGTAAAACCTGAATTGAAGTGTACACAAAACCAAATTGCTCAAAAAAAGAAATATATTAATCTTAAAAGCACAGTATATGAGGTTGCATGCTTCAGTGATAGCTGCAAACTGCTTCTCCAGACCCTCCTGTTCCTGAAACAGAGACTGGATTGTTCTTTCACACTTCCTCGTAGAAGGCCATCTGAGCCATGTAGGCAGAATTTCTCTGCAACAGACAGACCCGGCAGAATAAGAACACTGTTACAGTCTTTTGAGGAATGCAAACTATTTCATGATGGGAACTGGAAAAACGCAACATTTTCTGCTGATTAAATTCGATTAAAACATGCATGCAATTTGACAGCAAAGATCCACTTTGTGGTTCAGTGCACCTTTACCAAGTAGTCAAATTTCTAAACTTATTTATTTATAATAAATAAATAAATTAAAATAAATAAATAACCCCTTTTTTTTTTTTACACATAAATGCAGCCTTGGTGAGCATAAGAGACATCTTTGAAAAAACAAAAAAATCTTACTGACCACCAAACTGTATTTATATCAGTAATGTTTTCTGTAAAAAAAACCTTGCAAAATATTACAATTTAAAATAAACGTTTTCTATTTTGATATATATTAAAATAACAATATATTATTATTCTATTATAGCAAACAGAATTTTCAGCATCATTACTCCAGTCTTTAGTGTCACATGATCCTTCAAAATCATTCTAATATGCTGATTTAGAGCTCACTTCTTATTTTTATTTTATTTGTTAAAAACAACTCATGATTGTCTGATGAACAGAAATTACAAAAGAGCAACAATTATTTGAAATATAATTTTTTATATTTTTTATTTTATAAATTTTTATTAAAAAAAAATATTTTATAAATTTTTATAAAAGTCTTTACTTCACTTCTAAAACATTTAATGCACCCCTGCTGAATAAATCCTACTGACCCCAAACTTCTGAATGGTTGTATGTTTTAGTTATTTTAGTTATTTCTGCAGGAAATTCAACCCCAAAATGTTTGATTATATGACTTAACCATCTATCAAAGCTTATTTTTCAATAAATTAGTTGCGGTGATCATTCATTATGCCCGAGTGTTTCTTACATTGCTGTGGGGAATATAAGGAGGTTCAGCGTAACTCCTGAGACTGTAGAGTCCAGCCTGATGCTGCTCTTCCAACTTCAAGGATTCAATCTCTGATTTGAGCTCCTTCAGCTGGTCTTGAAGATGTTTGCTCTTCTCCATGTACTCTAGCCTGACACACGCACACACACAAGAAGACAGCAGCATATATTCAGCTTCAGTTTTCAATAGTTCTTCAGACAGAATGTGATCAAGTGCGTACCGTTCTCTCTCAATCTCCATGGAAAGTCTTTTCATATCCGAGTTCTTGAAGTCCATTCTGATGGAGCTGGCCATGTCTACAGTCCTATCTGGACTCTCTGGCCCAGTGGATGGAGGAGGGCTGGAGTATGCTGCTATTAACTGAGTGCATGACACAAACGACATGTTTTGAAAGCATAATAAGCGTGATAAACAGCAGAATACTTCTCTAACATGTCATAGCAGCATTACAGGGTATGTTGATTTGGTGATTTCCAGGAGTTTCTGCTTTGCCCTCCGTTCTGCATCTTTAGCCTCATTCAGATCCTGTTTCAGGTGGTCTGCCTCCTTCAATCTGAACCACAAAATACAAAACAAGAATTGAACTTCTCAAATTAAATATCTCTGTAATACTTGATTCTGGTTGGACAATCACAGCACTGAGTGTCAAGTATTTTTATATAATTACAGCATTTTTGTGTGTGTGTAAAACATTTTAAAGAAGAAAAACTATTTTTGCTGCTTAATATTTTTTGTGGAAACCATGATCATTTTTTTTCAGGACTCCTTGATGAATAGAAGTTAATTGAACGACATTTATCTGAAATATGATGTTTTTGTAGCATTCTAAAAATCTGTACTGTCACTTCTGATCAATTAAATGCTTCCTTGCTGAATACAAGGTTTAGATTATTATTTTTTATTGTTCATACCCCAAACATTTGAATGGCAAAAAATTTCAACTTTGATTAAAAAAAATTATTGAGCACAAAATGCATATTAGCATATCAATGATTTCTGAAGTATCATGTGACGCTAAAGACTGGAGTAATGGCTGCTGAAAATTCAGCTGTCATCACAGAAATAAATTACATTTCAAAATACATGAAAATAGAAAACAGTTATTTTAAATTATAATCATTTTTCAAAATATTACTGTTTTTACTATATTTTTGATCAAATAATTGCAGCCTTGGAGAGCAGAAGAGAATTTTCTTTCAAACACTTAAAAAAAAAATCGTAATATTCCAAGTTTTGGCCAGTGTATATTAATATTCAAATATTTAACTAAGAAGTGTGTTCATTAACATGATAATTTTGCTGTGAAATTAGTATCCAGAATTTTCACTGGTACTGATATCAACTACTGACAACCCTACTGGCCCACCTCCTCTCCGACTGCTCAACAAGCTTAACCGCCAGTTGTTCTGCTTCTCTCATCTTCTGCTCCATCAGTCTCTTCTCCTCTTTGGTTTTGAGGGCTGTGACCTCCAGCCTCTGCCTCTCCTGTTCTGCTTCAGCTGCTTTGTGGGCCAGCAGTTTGGCCTCCTCCTCTGCGATCTGGGCTTTCTCTGCCAGAAGGTCGGCCGTCTCCTCGGAGCGCAGCTGCAGAAAGGGAGACAGATAAAGAAAGGCTTACCGGATCAGGCTCAGGGAGTCTCAGAGCATGGATGGAATTCTAATGGGAGTCCAGGACAATGGTTTGGACCTTAATAGCTCTGCAGTTCATCTCAAATTTACGTCTGGACCACATACTTTTATACCGCTGGGGCTATGAGGAGATATATTACAAGCTGGCGGGGAAAAGAAAGTAAACTATTTGGCATCACTCAATTTCAAGCTTGGCAAAACCCTCACTAGAGCATCATTGGCCATTCGAGCCTCGTCCTGTAGCTGGAACAGACGATGCTCCATCTCTTCTTTCGCTCGCTCCGCTTCCTCTCTCATCTGCTTCTCCCGTGCAAGAATTTGACGCTCAACCTAAACACACACACACACACACACACACATACATAAGACAATGGGAGAGATCTTGCACAAGATGACACTAAATACATTTTTTAAAATCTGATTAATTCATGTACATGTTCAAAGACATTACTTATGGTCTCCAAAGCTGCATTTATTTGGTCAATAATACAGTAAAAAAGTTAATTGTAATAATATTCCACAATATTAAAAAAAACTGTTTTCCATTTGAAAATTTAATTTATTTCTTTGATGGCAAAGGTGAATTTTCAGCTATTAAATTTATAATAGAAATTAAAATAAAAATGTTCTATTATTAAAAATGTACTGTCCCCAAACTTTTTAACGATAGTGTACTTTATTCTATTATAGTGTACCATATTCTATACTGAAGATAAACCTTTAAGTTAGTGTATAATGCCTCAGTGTTATTATAATGTTTATAGGTGTATTGTTCATTATATTTAATGAATACTCGATTACCATAATAAACATTAAATGAATAATTCAAGAGAACTGAAGAGAACAAATCAGAAATGTAACACCACAAAGGTTAATGACAATAAACATTAAACTAATGAATGGAAGTGAAAAATGACAGACCTTTTTCCTGGCCTTCTCCTCTTTGGCCTGAGCCTTCATCTGTTGGACCTCTATGGAATCCACCTTCCTCCTCCTCATGAACAGGTCGTGGTTTCCAATACACAGCTGTAAGATCTAATTTATACAAATGACATTAGCAACTATTTTGAAACACTTTATTACAGAAACACTTATGAACGTAACTTACCAGTTTGTTAACTCTGAGCTGAGAGGAGTAGAATTTAAAAACTTCCTTTTTCTTGTCCAATGGTTTGATAGTAAACTGAGAAGACACACCAATTCTGTATTATTAATTAATAATTAGGCTATAATAACCAATATTGTCATTTAATGTTTGCCGTTTTATTGTAAGGTGTCCTTGAGTGTCATGTAAGGCACCTATAAATAAAATGTAAATGAAATGAAATTAAATGAAAAATAATATTTTTGGTCAAGAATTTCCTCTCTCAACCTCTTTCTCGCTGTACGAGATGTTTCGGATTCCACTCCAGGGGAAGGATTTGTTGGGGCTGAGCTTGTTGCTGGGGCTGTAGATATGAAGACCCTGAGCATCAACTCCAAGAAGCAGCTCTGTGTCCCTCTTATTTTGCTGTGAGATTTAGTAGAGATTTAATTCATCATTTATAATTCATCAACTATAATTTGGTGGGAACTACACGCAAGATACATTAAAAATATACTAAGAGAAATGCAATCATTCCAACTGATCTCAATTTTGAATACCAATAAACACAGTGGGATCCAAAAGTCAAGACAACCAAATGCTTTTATTTTGCATTTTTCTAATTTAATAATTTTTTAAAAATAAATACATAAATGTTTATAATTAATTACTTTTTTTTTTAATTTTCAAAATAACAAATGAAGTGTGGACCGCAATGTAAATTGAGTTTGGCAGAGGTTAGCTTTCTCCCAAAAAATAAAGAAAATATTACAATAAAGAAATAAGAACAGAGACTTACTGTAATAGAAAAGTAACTAACTCCATACATCTCTAGATCCTGTGCTATTTTTAGATACTCCATCTCAGCCTCGTCCCTACAAAACACAAAACAAATGTAGTGTGTCTTTTATATCCAGGCAATGTACATGGACACCACAGGATATGCACAGTCTTACCTTGTGATATTTCTGTGTTCAGCATACCAAGCTGTTATCTTCTCTTCCCACATGTCTGGTGTCATCTGGTACTGCATCAGCACCTGGACAATAAAGCACAGAAATCAAACACACAAGTCATGTTGATGAATACAAATGCTGGAGATTGATAAATGAACCCATTCTCACTCACTCTTTTGGGCAAGAGTTCATCTTGAGCTAAAAAACCTGGCTTGTGAAAGTTTGGATCATAGTCCCCATACTGCAGAAAGGAAGACAAACAGAAAATATTCAATAGACAGTAGGGCTGCAAGATAAATCGAAATGGAATCGAGATCGCGATTCGACAGAAGCTGCGATTGTCATGCGTATCTTTCAGTGAAGCACGGTTCTGTGATCAGTAGTAAATCTCCATCCGAAGGCCAGAGGGCGCTCTCACGCTGAAACTCCAAATACGCCTAGCAGAAGAAACCCAGAAAATCGCTGCAGCTGAATAAACAGAAGATTCAACTGCTTTCATTGATTCCACATGACTAATAAACACACGACTACGGCAATATACGTTTTATCGGAGTTCTTATTATTATAATTTTCATTAAAATAAAGTATATTTATAATGCAATGCCTTTATCACTGCTTAAATACTATGAAATATGTTGCGTGCCTTATTCTAAATTCTGCTCCATCTGAAAGCACGTGATGATGATTTCCTGCTGATTACAGAACCGGCTTTACTATCAAAATGCGCATGACAATCGCATTCGATTAATCGTGCAGCCCTAATAGACAGTATATAATTAGATCCATCCTATGATTGAAAACTGATATGGAGACCTACCTTGGCTTGAACAGCATATGACGCCAAAAGAACAGAGGCTTCCGGAGAGCAAAATATCTCCTCATCTAGTATCTGCTTTTTGACCTTGGTAAAGAAACAGGAAGAGCTTTCATTTCAACTTTAGCAGACCTTTTCTCAATGAAAACAAGATAAATCATTGCAAAACCCCAAAAGAGGTTTCTGTAGAGTGGAAAAGACCATCATGGACAGAAATCATGCCAGATTCACAAGAACAACTCCCACATACTTGTAAGAAGAAGAGGTGCTGAGTAATTTCCTGAACAAGCTCATCCTCGACTTTCTCGGGAAAGAATTTGGCGAGAAAATGAAATGTTATCGGAGAGTCCTTTGGAACTTCTTGATCCAAAACCTAGATGGATTTAAAAATCCAACAAACTTGTCAGAGCAATTCCTGTATTACTATATAAAGCTTTCAGTACCAGCTCTGCACTGCTGTTACATCTCACCCGTTTATCAGGCTTCAGCCAGGCATAAGTGTCTTTCACTGTATATCGAAGGCCAAAGAACCACGTTTCCCTCAAACCAATGGTCCGGCACACCAGGTCAAACAAATCTTTCCCTTTCCATTTGACCTATATGACACAGATAAACATAAAAAAGATGATAATACAGGCAGACAGAACACAAAACACACAGTTGTGTATGTTCATGTATGTTTACCTCACAACTGAACTCCATTTCAGCATCCATGGTGCTGACTTTGACTTTAAAAGTCTTTGCTTGCTTCTTTTTTAGACCCAAAATCGACATTGTGACTTCTTAAGCACCTGAAAATAAAGAATTACTGTGAAAGTCAAGTATATTTTACACATTTTAAAGTAAACATTTATTCATAAAAGCATTTGTGCAGCAGAGGAAATATACTCCACAAATTAAAAATAAACAAAGGGAGAACAATTCATAGTTTTAAACAAATATTTATAAGATATATATTTTAAAATATGTAAAATAGTTAATTAAATACTTCACCTCCTTTGCATTATCATAAGGGCAGCATGTATCTATCTATACTAAGTGCTAACGTTACTTTCACAATTCACATGGCAGATGCATGGAGTCAGACGACCACAGGTAGGTCGCATACACGCTAATCATTATTTACATACAATGCTGGGGCCCAAGATAACTATTTTCAAGGAAAACATTATCAATTTTCATCTTTTTTGAGTCGGAAAACATCACAGTCTGCCATGTTATACGACTTAACAAAGGTTGAGAATCTTTTTTTTAAACCCAACATAAAACAGTAAGCTAGCGTATTTTCTCCGTTTGAAGCGGCGAAATGTCACATTAAACTGTAAAGAAAATATCTGCAAATATTTCTTGAAAGATTTAGGAATAAAACAAGCTAAATATCAATCAGTTACCTTGAATAGGTTATGTGCTGAAACAGGCCCGATCCACGGCGAGGAGTTTCCAGTCTCTCCGCTAAACCCCAACAATGCAAACCGGATTTGATTTGTTCCCCTACATGGAAATCACTATAAAGCAGTCGAAAAGTGTTTAAAACTCTTTAAACGCGTCCATTTTCTTATTAAACCATCAGCTGGGCGGTTGTGGGATATAAATCTGATGTTATCTTGGGTAGAATGTGTTGGATAGGGAGTTTGGAATACTTTGTTGTTGATTTTCTTTGCCGCCCTCTACTGGAAAGACGAAGAATAACAACTTATCAATTTATTATAAAAAAAAGTAATTTTTTAATAAAACAGTTATTTATGTGCACCCTTTCAATGAAATAAAATTTGAATAAGAGACTAATGTTTAAGTACATTTTTATCACATTTTTAATGTAGTTTATATGTGACATGAGTTTCATATATTTGCATGTAGATGTGTATTTACAAATGCATACATGCATGATTTTATCCAAATGCAATGTGCAGTACATCTGTATGTGTACATATATATTTTATATAAACTTCATATAAATGTATGGACCTGTAAAGAGGTCATAAAAATATTCTGTAAGAAATTGCCCCAAATGACACCTGGATCTGTGTAATTTTTCATAAAGGAATGGCAAACAGCAGTCTGACCTTTTCTGACGTGAGAAATGTGATCCTGTCGGCCCATAAAAACACAGGGGCCCAAGATAAGGTTGGCTTCTATGATACCTGGGCTGAAAACTATGAGCAGGTAAACTTTAGGCACCAGTACTTTTCCCAGCACTTTTTCCAGTAAAACTATTTTCATCTGTAATTTGCTTTCTCAGGATGTAGCGCTGCTGGATTACCGTGCCCCCTTGTTGGCAGCTGAGTGTGTGAGCTCATTTTTCAGAGGTGACAGAGAGAAGGCCGCTGTCCTGGATGTGGCCTGTGGAACAGGCCTAGTCTCTGCACATGTAAGCATTGCTTTATTTGAATTCTAGTGGGCACAAGACAACATGATAAACCTGGTAAAGCAAAGAGTGATTTTTTTTTTTCTCAATCCCATTTGTTTGAGGAAAGCTGAAGAAAATGGGGTTTCGTCATTTTGTTGGAATAGATGGAAGTTTGAAGATGCTGGAGTTGGCAAAGAAAACTGGACTTTATCAGCAGCTTACGCAATGCCTGCTCGGTCAAGATGAAGTTCCTGTTAAATCTGGTAACCATGCTGTGGACTTTATGCTTTTACTGTCAAAATGTAATCTGTATTTTCTTATCAGAAATGCCTGTTTGGATGTCATGTTGCAATTTCAGACTGGTGTAATAAAGATAACCATTTAAGATAAACCAGATAAACCATATCTTTGTTGAAAATAATTCGCTAGGTCAGTAAGGACATTCTGCACATAAAGAATTCACATTTTGATTCACCCATGTTTTAGGTGTTATAACTAATAACCTGTATCATAAAACATGCTTTTTTTTCTCCTTTGTCTCAGAAACATATGATATTGTTATAATTGTTGGAGCTCTAAGCGTTGGGCAGGTGCCTTTAACAGTCATCAGAGAACTCTGGGATGCTACAAAACCAGGTAACTTGTAAATTTCACAGCTGCATCCGAAAGCTGAAAAATGCTGCCTCTGCAGGCCGTATACAGAGACAGGAAGGCAACAAGGCACATCTAAATACAATGATCCTATCACATTTCGCATGTATTCTTCACTGCCTGTGATATCCCACAATCCTGTGGGTTCAATTCCATGACAATTTAGCAGTCTGAAAGTTGTCGTTGGAGGTCAGTTTGTGTGTAAATGTATGTTTTTCAACAACTTTTTCCACTTTTGATGTCATTTCTAGCGAGAAATTCGTATTGTAGTAACTAAATATTTGCTTAGTTATCACAAAAGCTCTCCTCAATTAGTTGTAAATTAAACTATTATGCTGTCTCAGAGGCCCATGCAAAATCAGTTTCCTGCACAAATCACTGCAGTCAGCTGCCTAAGCTTTCAGACAGCCCACAGTGTTACTATTCAACAACTTTGTGGTTTTATTAATGTGATGTCATTGTTGTACTTTTGGATGCATACAGAACATGTACATTTCAGATATTTTCCTAAACTCCATCATTCTCTATAACAGGTGGCTATGTGTGCATGACTACAAGAGGGAACCCTGATAACCGGGAGTACAAGGCTGAGCTGGAGCAAATGATCAGAGCACTTGAAGAAGAGCAAAAATGGAGCCGTGTGACTGTAGTTGAGGTGGAGGAGTGGGAGAAGGCCGTTTCAGAACAGGACAGCGGGTACATTCCAGGCGCCATTTATTTGTATCAGAAAGGTTTTAAATGCAGTCCATGATTTTAGGACCACACAAGGGAAACCCAGTGACCAAATGTGCTCAATAATCCATGCAGCTATTCTAAATAGTTCTTATTCCACCAGCAGGTGGTGGTATTTTTTCAGAAATTATAGTATCACTTTTTTTTTCGCCAGAGAAGCGCCTGACAAGAGATAAACTTAAACATGATCTATTTGTTTGTTTTGGCACCAACTTATTTCACCTGGCACTGGTACACAGTGCAGCCATTTGAAAAACTTTAAGGTTTTTGTTCAAGTAAGGTCCATGAACCTAAAGGATTTTGTGAGAAAATGTCTAAGGTGTGTGGTTACAAATCTACCATTCCCCAGTTACATCTAACCTTTCGATTGCCACTCCTCGATACTCCGACCGCTAAACTTTTGAAACTGCTATTTCCGCTGGTGTCACATGACAAAAAATAAAGCACACAAACAGATTATGGAGTGTGTACTATGAATAAGATTATTTAACAAGAAAATTTCCAGTTTAAAAGGTTGTTGTTGAAATCCAGTGTTAAAATTGCATTATACTGTATGTGATTCAATAAACATCAATACCTAACAGCGACCATTAAAATACATTTGATTTTGTGTCAGTAAGATATATATATACGTAATGTGTAAGTAAATTAACACATTCCAAAAGAACACAGTGTAGATATAAAATTTTATTAGTTTGTAATTCCTTTTATAAACATTCAGAACAGGCGGGTTCACAGTGTTCTGACTAAACAAATATTACAAGGGCATATGCAAAGGCATTCACGAAGTATTGACTATACTTCGTAACTTGTAACAGCTAATTCAATTTAAATTTCAAGCAAAATGGATAAACATTAAGATTTTTATTTTGGTTTTATCTCTACAGCTTAAGCTTCACTACAGCACATTCTTTTGAGCTCTTTTTAAACACTCTGTGCCTCGACAAAATGCAAAGCGCTTTCATGAGGTGATACTTTCTGTTAAACCGGTTTGGCCTGGATCTGCCGTTTCATTCAGTGCTGGAGCTGACATACACGAAAGGGTAACAATGAAGAGAGTGTTCTTTTCCCTCACTTGTAACATTTGAACCGAACAATTGTCCATCTCTGAAAGACCACCTGTGTGGCCAAGATCATAGCAGTGCTTTTATATGACAGTTTTCAACTAGAAATATGTTCATTCTAGTTTCCTAGCAGGAAAACAACATAATATTTGAATGAAACTGACAAATTTCCATATGTTTGTTGAGGAGGCGTCAGCTTTTTTTACGCTACAAAGGAGAACTGTGCTAAGTACAATGCATGACATAATGAAAAAAAAATTTTCCGCATACAATCATGAACATACATTAAATGTACACACATTAAATACATAAAATGTATGGAAACTATTAAAATGAACTATAAAACAGCATCATAATCATGACTGCTGAAGTCTGAGTGTAAGTTACAGTGCAAATCTTCATCTCGATCAGGTGCACTTCCTAAAGTGCCTCAAATTCTCTAAAAAAAAAATCAGAATGGACTAACTGAGATAATTATCAGTTTTACATAATAGTAAGGTTCAGCCACTAACATATTCTTCATTTTATCACACATTCTTCATATTCACAGTGCTATGGCAGATATATGACTGTCCAAGTGCATGTAAGTCCTTCAATCAACACTAATTTTGCAGTTTCTAGGTGTCTCCTTATTCAAATGTATGTCTTGGGAGCATCTTCAGTCTCACTAGGTTCAGAAGCAGCCAGTGTCTGATCCAAACCATCATCAATCAGCTGGGACTTAGTCGACGCCCCCTCGTCCCGCTCAGGCTCTGGCATCAATTCGGCTCTGACAAGCTGAGACTTTGTAGTTGAAGGCCTGCTCTGGTGGGAGTCCAGAGAAGGAGGTCTTCCCTGATTCAAAGGAGCTTTCTGACTCCACTGGGACCTCACAGATGGAGCGCCACTCTGCAGTGACCTCACAGAGACGGGCCGCATCCTCTGGGAGCCCGCTCTGCTGGACCCTGCCTGCGAAGAGCGCACGATCAGGTACTTCACTGAACGGCCACTGTCGTCTTCTGTTTTGTCTTTGCAGATAGTGGTGCAGAGCATTCCTCCACCCAAAATGAGGACAATAGACGCACCCCAACCAACATAAATGGCACCACCGATCTCCCTTCGCTGCGAATCGGCCATCTGTGGGTTGTAAAACGCTCTCACCACAATGCCAGCCGACCAGGAGACGGGAATCAGGCAGAGAACTCCAGCGACAATCAACGTGACACCAGCTGCTGTGGCAATTCTGGCTTTGGATCTTTTGGATCGGTCCATGAAGATGGTGTACTTTCCTCCGATGAAGGCTAAAACAAGGCCCACCGCTCCCAAAAGGATCGCCATCACTGTGAGGGCCCGAGCCGCCTGCAGATCCGTGCCTAGCGCAAGTGTGGACTCGTACGGTTTGCACTGCATTTGGCCTGTGCTTTGGATCACACAGCTCATCCAAATGCCCTCCCACATGATCTCTGAGGTTACAATGGTGGTTCCAATGAAGGCCGTCACACGCCACATTGGCATGATGCAGGACAGGAGGGCTCCCACCCATCCCAGCAGGGCCAAGGCGCTCGCTAACATGTGCATGCCTAGAGAAGCCATCTCGCTGAGGTTCAGTTATCCACGTCCACAGCTACACTAAGGCCTCTTCTCGCCAGTTAAAGCCTTTTTGGAGGCCTTGTGGTGTTTCCTTCTTCACTCATTCCTGTCTGCAGCTCAGCTTTCACTCTGGTGACAGTGATGAGGTGTTTATATGCTAAAAAGAGAGAGAATGACTGAAGAGGTGTGTGCAGTTAAACAGACCATGCCTCCATTAGTCCGCACGCTACCAGACTAACCAGATTCCTTCTTCTAGCCATGAACTATATGGGCGGGTCATGTAAAAAGAGATAGATGGGCTACTGTTTAGTTGGGAATTTGCATTAGACTTCTGAAAAGGGCTCAGGTGCGTTTAGGTATCCAAATGCAGTTTTGATCTCACTATTTTGCTTTTCTGTTTGAGGTTTTAGAGATTTGTTTGAAGCTCTGACCACCAAGGCAGCCTCTATATCTGATGCCATAATCATTTTTATATGTTAAAAATGAAAATGAATGAAAATTCTGTCATCGTTTACTCACTCACTCACGTTTTAAACCTGTATGATGTTTCTGTGCAACATAATAAAATATATTTTGAAGAATGTTTGTAGCCAAACACTTTTGACTTCACTGATGTCTCTCAAAATATCGTTATTAATTCTAAGAAAGAAATTCATAGAGGTTTGGAATGATATAAGGGTGAATAAATGATTACAGAATTTATTTTTGGGTGAACTATCCCTTTTGAATGATTGATTGTGCTACTATACTGCCATTCATATATGATGCACATATAATGGAAGACAAGTGTGGTAACTAATTTAAAGCACTAAAAAGTAGGTTTATAAATTGTAAAAGTTAATGATTTGAATGCCAAACAGGATTGTTGTGACTGTGTTTACAGTCTTGCTACTCACCTATTTGCTTACTATAGTTTCGAATGATTAAACATGATGAGTCACATAGCGTTTATTTGAAATATTTTCCTAGAGGTCTTAAAACAACATTGAAGAGAATGCTAAATTCGCTCATTACATTTAGATTTTGTTGTCATCATACCTAAGGGTTGAAACACTAGTTGTGAGTCAGTCATAGTGTGGAAAATACCTACCAGGAAAAAATAAGGTCAGTTTCTTCCTGATGCAATCTTAAGCATGTGGGAATATACACACAGTCACAATGTTTGAGTGCGATAATAATTTTTATTAAGTATACATTGCTACATGTCATACGAATAATGACTATAATATGAGGTGAAACTATGAAAATAACTATGAGAATCTAATGACAAGATTTTTCAAATTAGCAACAAAAGTATGCTATCAATGATTGGCTTACATTTTAATAATGAAATGAAAAATATGTATTATTACACTACTGTTAAAAAAATTTGGGGTCAGTAATTTTTTGTTAAAGAAGTTAATACCTTTATTTAGCAACAAACGCTTTAAATCAATCAAAAGTGACAGCGAAGACATTTATAATGTTGCAAAAAAGGTTTCTGTTCTTTTGAACTTTCCTTTCATCAAAGAATCATGAATTTTATTTTCTATATTGCTAAAAAGTTATTAAAATAGAAAACAATATTTCACAACATTACAGTTTTTGATCAAATAAATGGAGGCTTGGTGAACATAAGAGACTTCTTTTAAAAAAACACCAACATACCGACCCCAAACTTTTGAACACTGGTTTATATTATGTGAGCAATTACGTTGAATGAAAGACAAAACAAAAGTATTTTGAACACACAGTGCTATTTGTTGTCAAATTCAACATTATTTTTTGGGCTGAGACAAAACTCCTGGGGCAAGGAGGGTCTCAAGGATACAACAGTGATGGAAGCGACAAAACATTTCAGCAGCACTTTCAAAATACATACTTTGATTTGCACATTTCTTCAATGAGTATACCATGAAAACATTTTTAACATGTGTAATGCATTTCTATTTTGTGGCAATGCACATTCCAATACTCATCAAGAAATGCTTTTCATCTTAATTTCTTACTGTTGTGTAAATCAGTTCCTCTTCAGCTCACTACAATTTGTTAAATCAGTCCTACTTTTTATACATAAGCTTTGCTGCTTTCCACAGACCTGGCTTTTGAATACATGACATTATGGCGATCATCCTCACGTGGTGGGCACGAGCTGCAGAGGAGACCTCCACCCAGAAGAAGCAAACCTGCAGAAGCCCAGCCAACGTAAAGCGATTCCCCAAGCTCCCTCTTCTGACCTTCCACCAACAAAGGGTTGTAGAAGTCCCTGATTATGGTATTCACAGTCCAGCAGACAGGGATGAGGACAAGAAGTCCAGCAATGTTGAAGATGATGCCACTGGCGATAGCAACCTTCACTTTAGATGCCTCGTCTTCCACAAAGTTGGTGCACTTTCCTCCTACGATGCTCAGGATGATTCCAAACACCCCAGCGATGATGGCGATGATCACCAAGGCTCTGGCGCCCTGCAGATCTTGGGGAAGAGCCAGCAGAGAGTCATAGACCTTACACTGCATCTGTCCTGTGCTCTGAACCACACAGTTCATCCATAAACCTTCCCAAATGATCTGCGAGGTCACAATGTTGGCTCCAATGAAGGCAGACACCTTCCAGTTGGGCAAGCCACAGATGACGATGCTTCCCAAGAAGCCGACCGTAGCCAGGCAGATTCCCAAGGTTTGACATCCCGTAGATGGCATGTTTCTTAACTTGTTGCCTTGAAGGAATGAATACAGGAAGACGTTGCTGTTATCCCCAACGGCCGTTTGCTATGTCTATGTATTGTTATATGTAACACTCTCTTATAGGCAGTGGCGGAGCCAGGATGTTTTTATAGGGGTGGCCAGGGAGGGGCCAGCAAACAGTCGGGGGTGGCACAGAAATCTTCATTATTTCAATATAGAAATGTGTTTGACTATAAAGTACTGGACTGTTTTAGTGCCTATAAAACACAACTGAATACAATTAATTTCTTCTTAACTGTAATTGAGATATTTGTGAATTAGATCAAGTAATACTGAGTGAATATGACAATTCCAGGTATTTTAATAAAGGGGCTCACTATAGCTTTTTTGCTCAGTAAGCTTCTCAAAACTCCCAAATGCTTGCTCTCCAACATTGCATACTCATGGATGAGACATGCAGATAGTGATAAAAATGTGAAAAAGGCCGAAAGTCAACAGACATAAATGCCTGAATATAAAATTAGTTATTTTATGCATTTAAATGTTTTCATTTTTGCATATTTTCTAGTATAAGTGCACTGTGCTCACATTTATTTGTGCATTAAATTACAAAAAAAAAAAATACATATCCACTTGTGCCTTATATTGTGATCTCGAATTGCAGAATACATTTTAGTACATGCATTTGAGAGACGTTCTTGTGTGCTGCCTGCGTATACATGCACAGTTTGCAGCTTTAATTGCCTTTTTGGTAATTTCATGACTTTCGCTGATGACAGAACTAGGTATGTATGCTCATAGTTTCTTGTGCAGGTTATTTATGATGAAGTAATATAGAGCGTGCACCACATATTTGCGTACTGTTGGAAGAGTGTGCGCCTTGAGCACAGTAAAACGGCTGATGGGACAGGAAAGTGTGTTTTGCTGACATATAGTCTATCAACATCTCATCAGACAAGAAATGCATTTATTAAGATGTGGAACCACCGTATCTCTTTATGACCACATCAAACGGGAGAATTTTCAGACGCACACTTCAGCTTCACCTCAGCATCAGGCACGAGTCAAACGAGCGCGGAAAAGCTACAGCAGCCAAATGAGCTTCAGTAGAACAAATGTGTGCGTCTGAAAATTCTCCCGTTTGATGTGGTCATAAAGAGATACGGTGGTTCCACATCTTAATAAATGCATTTCTTGTCAAAAAAAGGAACAAAAACTGCAGTTTTGAATGGGGTGGCCAAAGGGGTGGCCAAGCTTTCGTCAGTGGTGGCCGCGGCCACCCCCTGGCTCCGCCCCTGCTTATTGTATACAAAAGGAGGGAAACGTCTCTGGTTACTGTCCTAACCTCGGTTCCCTGAGAGATGGCAACGAGACATGGCAATTACAAATAAAAAATACATATCAGCTTGTGCCTTATATTGTGATCTCGAATTGCAGAATACATTTTAGTACATGCATTTGAGAGACGTTCTTGTGTGCTGCCTGCGTATACATGCACAGTTTGCAGCTTTAATTGCCTTTTTGGTAATTTCATGACTTTCGCTGATGACAGAACTAGGTATGTATGCTCATAGTTTCTTGTGCAGGTTATTTATGATGAAGTAATATAGAGCGTGCACCACATATTTGCGTACTGTTGGAAGAGTGTGCGCCTTGAGCACAGTAAAACGGCTGATGGGACAGGAAAGTGTGTTTTGCTGACATATAGTCTATCAACATCTCATCAGACAAGAAATGCATTTATTAAGATGTGGAACCACCGTATCTCTTTATGACCACATCAAACGGGAGAATTTCCAAGGCGGCAGAGGGGGGGGGCCCCCCCGCCGTTATATAATGCGCCGTATTGGCGGCATAAGCTCAGAATCTTCCGACTGAACCAACAGCACAGCAGACCTGAGCAGTGAACACGGCGGCCTACGCCATGTCTAGTTCCTGTCTCTCAGGGAACCGAGGTTACGACAGTAACCGGAGAAATTCCCTCTCGAGAACGGTCTCTCGACATGGCGTTAACGCCTTGGCGACGGTATAGAACAATGCCGTGGAAGCAGCAAAGTAAAAAGGCTCAGCCTTGGCAGAGCTAACATGAACAGTTCTTGCAAGACACTAAAATTAAACCCCAACCAATCAAATACGACCCTGCGACATGCCTCAAGGGTATTGGATGTAGATTCCCACTTAGGGATCCAATCAGGTTACTCAGAATCCATGTCCGATGGCAGGTCTCTTATTGAGAGAGAGATGCAGCGCCGTCGCCCTACAAAGGCTAAGACATTATAGTCATATCAAACGCATGCATACAAGTATGTAATATAACAGTGCAATGAAGCATGTGAGCGGCAAGGCCGGGCACAATACTAACAACAATATACACACATAGAAAACAGCCACATCCGGGGCGCCACAGTCTGAATATGACGATGGCCCCGCCCCCGATCCCCCAACACGACCTAGTCGAAACCACCAGCACAGTCAAACGGCTAGTGGTTGCAGATAGAACCATGGGTCATACTCACCGACAGGACCTGTGAGGCTAATGACCACACGTCCAAATTGTAGAATCTGGCAAAGGTATTCTGCGAAGACCATCCAGCCACCATACAAATATCTTTGATAGAAATGCCCTTAGTCCACACCCACGAGGAGGCAACCGCCCTCGTCGAATGGGCTCTGACACCAATAGGACATTCCATTCCCTGGCTAGAATATGCCAAGGCAATAGCGTCGACCACCCAATGTGATAGCCGTTGTTTGGAGACAGGCTGCCCTCTGGTGCTGCCTCCGAAGCATACAAACAGCTGCTCAGATTGCCAAAACTGAGCCGTGCGGTCGATGTAAACTCGCAAAGCCCGCACCGGACACAACACCTGATTCGGGGCGGCATCCGATGAAGTCTCCGACTCTGGAGTGAAAGCAGAAAGCACCACCACTTGCGCTCTGAACGGTGTCGAGAGCGATTTAGGCACGTAGCCCAATCTTGGCTTGAGCATGACGTTACAATCACCTGGTCCAAACTGCATGCAGTCCGCATTCACAGAGAGCGCTTGCAAATCCCCCACGCGCTTGACCGAAGCAAGGGCGAGCAGCAGCGCAGTTTTAAGCAAGAGCTCCCTCAAGTCGACAGTCTGAAGTGACTCGAAGGGTGGGAGGGCTAGCACCCCCAGCACCAGAGCTAGAACCCAGGATGGCACTGTAGGAGGGCAAGAGGGTCTTAGTCTTCTCGAACCTCTCAAAAATCTGATCACTAGATCGTGTTTTCCCACTGAGCGCCCGTGGATAGCAAGGCTGAGATAGCTGCAACATAAACCTTGAGAGTGGAGGGCATACTGCCGCCGTCCATTCGTTGTTGCAAAAAATTCAGAATGTCAGACATGGGGTAGTTTTCCGGGTCCCGACCATTCGATTCACACCATCTCTCAAACACTGCCCATTTACAGGCGTACAGGCGTCTCGTAGAAGGGGCTCGCGCCTCTGTAATCGCGTCCATCACGCGGCGAGACAACAAGGCCGGGTTTACCGGTTCCCACACACCATCCACACCTGAAGTTTCCACCATTCGGGGTTGGGGTGCCATACCGAGCCGTCCGCCTGAGACAGGAGATCCCATCTCAGTGAGATCGGCCACGTTGGAGCCGTTAGTATTTCCAGCAGATCGGGAAACCAATACCTGTTTGGCCAGTACGGAGCGACTAATAACACTGACGCCTTCTCCTCTCTGATTTTGTGCAGCACTTGTGACAAAATCTTCAGCGGGGGGAACACATACAGACGGGCATTCGGCCACGGCATCGTGAGTGCATCCCTGCCTAGGGGAGAGCGTGACAGAGAGAAGAACAGAGGCCAATGCCTGTTCTCCTCTGTCGCAAACAAGTCTACCTCCGCTTTCCCGAACCGTTCCCAGATCAGCCTCACTGTCCCGGGGTTCGGTCTCCATTCTCTGTGAGGAATCCCATCCCTCGATAGCATATCCGCGCCGCTGTTCAGGCAGCCCGGAACATGCGCTGCTCAAATGGAGAGCAGATGGTGATCGGCCCACAGCAAAAGGCGTGCTACCTGTCTGTAAAGGGCTCTCGAGTGTACTCCGCCCTGGCGGTTTATGTAAAAATAATCCCGCATCCAGGACACCACAGTCTGAACATGACGATGGTACGATACCACCGACATGTTGTCCGTGCGAATCAACACGTGATGCCCCCGGACTTGCGTGAGGAAACTCCGAAGAGCCAAAAAGACCGCTCTCAGTTCGAGGCGATTTATGTGCCACGTTCTCTCCGACTCTGTCCAGTAGCCCGAGGCCGGTACGCAGTCGCAATGAGCTCCCCAGCCCATCGTCGACGCGTCTGTCGTGACCATTTTCCGCCGCGTGGCCAGACCCATCTGGGCGCTGCGTTGGTACAGGTCGGGGTTCCGCCATGGTTTCAGCGCGTTCAAGCACCACAACGAGGGACCACAACGCGGGCATGGCCCGTTTTCCACGCCCTTCTCGGTACTTGTGTTTTCAGCAATATCTGGATGGGGCGCATATAGAGTAGACCGAGGTGACACATCATCGCGGCCGCCGCCATCCGTCCCAAGAGCTTCTGATACTCCTTCAGTGCCACGGGACGGCCCAGCCTGAATGCATTCAGAGCGGACATTAAATCTCGTATGCGCTCCTGACTCAGACACGCTCTCATCGACATTGAGTCCAACTGCACCCCCAGATTCATGATTGACTGGCTGGGGTGTAACACGCTTTTTTGTTTGTTCACACAGAGTCCTAAACTCTCCAGGTGAAGTAACAGAGCGCGTTTGTGGCTGCATCCTCCGAATAGGCCAAGACCAGCCAATTGTCCAAATAATTCAATATGCATATTCCGCTCGCTCTCAGAGGCTCTCGTTTCCGCATCCACACATTTCGTAAATGTACGTGGCTCCAGCGCTAGCCCGAACGGCATCACCGTGAACTGATACGCTATGCCTTCGAACGCAAATCTCAGAAAGCACCTGTGACGAGGGGCGATCTGGATATGAAA